TGATATTGCAGGGAATGAGCTGCAAGGACCTTCAATTCACTCAGCATTTCTCTCTCAGCCCACAGGGCAAGATTTACTAATGAAAGCTAATGTAACATTTTATTCTAATATGGGAAGCCCCAGTAGCATCAGCAGCTTTGCCCATGACTGATGTATTCCTGTGGTGTACGCAACTCTGCCTTCTGTAGTTAGACATTCTCCTTTCAGCCATCCCATATTCATCACAGCAAAGCACAGCTTCTCTACAGAAGTTTACCCTAGTAGCTTGCCTGGCATACGTTTGAAGGATTAGTACATGTGGCATGAAAAGTGGCCCTTGTGCCCAGTGTGCACTGGTGAATATTCATGCAAGTGTCTGGCAGGCTTTTGCTTTTTTTCTCTGAAAAGGCAGCTCTTGCAGAATAAATTCCAAACGGGGTGTATATTTCTTTTCTCTCTTTGTTCTTCAAAAAAAAAAAAAAAAAGTGTGGCAGCAAAGGCCGAACTCTTATTTTGCATCTTTCACAAATCCCAAAGGAGGAAGTGTCTATTTTTATCATTCATGTTAAGTCTCTTTGGGAGTGGCTTAAATTAATACACTATTTGTTAATGATAACCCAAAGCCAGATCCTCTTTCGAGCAGTTTAACCTGGGCCAAGCACTGCTGAGATGAGAGCAACTCATCTCCTCACAAAAAAAAGAGATCTGTCCATTTAGTCTTTTGCTTTGAATTCACACCATTTGTGTTTTAATTAGAGCATTTAACGGTTAGAATAATTATAATTACCAGTGTGCTATTGGAAATATTTGAATTTTAAACTCCTGATCATAGCTTTGAAGACCTGGCACAAGGAAACTCCATTGGCCCAATAATGAAAGAATTCAATTGAAAAACATAATTAGCTAATTTTTTACAGCCTTTTTAAAAGAAAACAATTTACATATGTTTTTGCCTTTTTCCCTCTTTATAATCCTTCAGAAGATTTAGCCTACGATTAGAAATTGTTAAATAGATTCAGTATCTGTTGTTTATAAGTACTCGTCACATCTAGGATTCTACCCTTACATTGTCAGACTTTTAACAAGGAAGTCTGCTACAGTCTGTCTTACCTTGAGCAGGCAAATGACCTTAACAGCTGTAAAAAAGCAGGATGGGTGAGGATCTGAGGAAGCAGAATTTCTAATAGCTGAATCTTTCTTCTGACCAAGTCCTGAAAAGATGCCTCTGGGAATTTGACAGAATCAGCTCTGAATTTTTAATTTGCAGATAGACAGCACTAATGAGAGCTAAAAGGCTTCTTTTGGAAGCCTTTTATTTTAGCTTCTTAAATTATTATTTATTAATAATATTAACTGCCTGAGATTGAGTTGAGAGATTCTGAAGTCTCTTTATAAAATCTGTTTGTCCAGCCTACCTGAGCCCAAATTTTTTGAGATTCAGAAATAGGAAATATAATGCTAAACCTAAAGTTTTACCAGGTTCTGATTTGCATAGGATCATGGAAGCACAAGGCCTTAGCACCATTCTTGGGTAGGGGATTGGACCCATATATTCCTAGTAAATTAATTCCTAAAGCAAGTCAGGTTCAGCTATGGACAGCATTTTCCCATAAGGAAAAGGGCTCCATGTTCAGCTCCCATCTAGGTCATTTTCACCTCTCTACCAGCAGTGTTGTTTAACTCTGAAGAGTGGAATAATTTTTGAACAATAATATTTGTCACAGCAGAGGTAGCAGCTGAAAGCAAGAAAGATTGCCTCACTGGGGAGAAGTGAAATTATATGAGACTTAAGCATTCTGGTAAGAGATCCTTAAAGACACACAAGCTTGATAGTTTTCTACTGGAAAAGTGTTTAAATGTGACCAAGTTTATTTTCTTTTAGAATCTAACTGGCTCAACTTGGATGTTTCTTGATATTTTCAGTGATAGGCAACAATCCCTACCCACTGTAGTTTGAAAAGGGTTTGCTGTGCTTAGTTGAGGAAAGAACCCTGACTAGCCCCTTTTGTTAATTTTGCTAACTAGATTCCACAGTTTTCTTTTTACTTGTATGTATAGCTCTACTTATAGTGATTTAGATAGTCAATGTAGTTCTAGCTATTTTGATTGGTTAGTTGTGCTCTGATTATTGTGGTAGGAACAGGTCCCACTGGATTCCATAGCAATCAGCAGGTGCAATCAAAATATACCAAGTGTTCATTACAGTTAGGGCTTGTCTGCACTTACACCAGTGCAGCTGTGACACTACAGTGCTTAGTGAAGACACTATCTGTGCCAACAGGAGAGCGTCTCCCTTCGGTATAGGTACCTCACCTCCCAGAGAGGCAGTAGCTATGTTAACAGGAGAAGCGGTCTCATCAACGTAGCACTGTCTACACCAGGGATTAGGTCAGTATAACTGTGTTGCTCAGGGGTATGGATTTTCCACATAGTTATACCGACATAAGTTCCTAGTGTGCACCAAGCCTTAGTGTTAGCAACATTTGCTGACAAGAATCTGCTGGCCAAATTATCACAAAGGCTGAAATATTTACACGAGTGTATTGCACAGATTCGGGCATGTTGCATAAACAATATGGAGCAGGTATTTTCTATAAGCTTTTAAAGGGCACCCAGTTCAGTGAATGAGCAAACGACTTCAATCTTTGTAACTCTTAATCTGATAGAAAATAAATCCCTTAAGGAAATGAATAGAAGATTAGGAAAAAAAAAACACATTCAGCACAACATAGTTTGCCATAACATGCATAATGCAGGCATTCCAATTAGAATGTTACAATTTAAAAACTTGGTTCACAGACTGATGAGAGAGCAATTATTTTGAAGAAGGGGAAGTGCAGTTTGTTGAGTTTGTCTACAGTCACTCCTAATTCAAACAGCAAAGATAAGAGTTTTGAAAACATATTTGCTATTGAGTTTGTATCAAAATAACAGCAAAGAAAGCAATTAGTTGTAAACCGAACCCCTGTTAATCAATGGTATGTAGCCAGCCCAGGCATTTATGTAAGATATAAACAAAATCACATCTAATAATCAATTTTAAAAAATGCTTCACTGCTTCTAAAGAATTCCACCCACCCCACCCCCAAGCCTCTGGCCTGGTCTACACTTAAAATTTAGGTTGACATAGTTACAGTACTTGGGGTGTGGGGGGAAAAAAGCACACTCTGAGGGCCATAGCTATGCCGATCTAACCCCCAGTGCAGATGCAGGTAGGTCAATGAAAGAATGCTTTCATCAACCTCAGTTCCTTTGTTTGGGGAGGTAGTGTTCCTACAGCAATGGAAAAACCCTTTCCATCACTGTAGCCTGCATCCACACTACAGGGTTATGTTGACATTGCTACAGCACCATAGCTATGGTGTTCTAGTCCCTGTAGCATAGACTCAGCCTCAGAACTGGGAAAATTTTGTCTGGACTATTAGGGGAAAGAAAACCCTTGACCCCTTCAAGGATTGCACACACACCCTCTGCTCCTCCGGGCTTGAAGAGGGAAGGAGGCGGAGCTCTGTGGTTCATTGGTTGGACAAGGGTTCAGTATAAGCCTATTGACTCCCATGCACCCACAGGGAAAGTCTATAAACCTTTCCTCCTGTCTGAGGGTACCATTTTGCAGTGGGGGGGGAGGGGGCGGCTCCTGCTCCACACACCTCTCCCCCCCGCCCCCAGCGTTATGGTAGGACTGTGCTTGTGGACCTTGTTGTGGACATCATGCTAGTTGCCATTTTAGTGCTGGGAAAGAATTTATCTCACTGCCAGATTGGGTTGAGATGGGTGTGGTTTCATCTTCCTGTCAGCAGCCCAGGGACTTTGTGGGTAGGTTAGATTGTAAAATTCATTTTTTTTCATAGGTGCCCAGTGCAGGTAAGTGTTGAGCAGGGGTTCAGTTACCTAAAAAAACAGAACTAGAAGAGAAATAGGGGAAGCCATATCTCATAAAGAAGGTGGGAAATGGGGATGGGGCTTCTAATGTTTGGTACAGTGAGGAGATGAGCCTCTCTTTCCCACTCCTTTAAACCTCATATTGGGAGGGAAGGGCAGTGGAGTCCCAGAAATGTGCTGAGACAGGTTAACGGAAGCTGACAACAGCCCTACAGCAGATGAAACAGAGGAGTAGGGGCTGAAAGCCACCTCCCTCCAGGTGGCACAGGTTACAATGGAAGGATGACCTGCACTGGACAAGCTATTGCTGGATAGTTCCCAGATGTGTCTCACTTGATAGAGTTGGAGCTTAGTTAAACCATATTCCTGGTGTCTTGTTTTCCTGCAGTGTCCAGGACACCAAGATAAGGCGAAGGGAGCTCCTTAACAATGCATTTAATGTGTTTCCTGAAGGACAGCACACTCATTGGGTAGCATGAGTAGAAGAAGGGATCCTTCTTAAGAGCTGACCTGACCTGAATAGGCCAGTTTTACTTTTTCTTTTTTTGCCAATTTGATCCAAGGCTCCTCATTTTATAAAGCATAGAGATGAGGAATTCCCATTTCATATGCAGGCCTTGAGTTCTCTGTTAGTGAGTAATCCTTGTGTGTTTGCCACAATAAGAGAATATGTGCAAGAGGACAGTATTCCACAAAATCAGGGTCTGCTTTATTTTTCTTCTGGACCTTGAGCTGTGCTTTCTGTACACAGCCACATTATCCAAACAGATCTTCGAGTCAGTGATACACTGGCAGTTTCAATTGGCAATTGAAATAGAGTATATATAGATTTGTAAATAAATTAAAAATAAACTGGATGAATGTTGTAGAATGACTATAGGGAATATATTATAGATTTTTGTTGGAGTTAACATAAAGTAGTGTGAATAGTTGGGACTTGGAGGAACACCCAAAATAATGTGTGAAAGGAAAAGGGTATCAACAGGGAACACTGAGCATTAGAGGAACATCGTAGAACAAACAGTTTAGCTAAATAAGGATTAAAGAGAAGATAGAAAAGACTGAAAAAAAAATAACGAGCAGCTTGGTTTAATGGTAATTTTACTGATCACTTCTGTATTCTATTTATCCCTGTCCAGGTTACTTCTCTGGGACTGCGATGATCGGAGCTATAGTTACTACATTGAGGTTTCCACTAATCAGCAGCAATGGACTATGGTGGCTGATCGAACAAAAGTTTCCTGCAAGTGAGTTTAATTTTTTCCACTTATTTGCCCAAGGGAGAAACTAAGAAAACTATTCTCCCATTGATCTGTGTGAGATTTACATGGTTACCTCTCACTAACACTGGTTGGAATTATACTATTGTAACTTGCAAATAACTGAGACTAGACCCCTACAAATGTGATTTTGGGGAGTGGAGACTTCAAGTGTAGCTCAAGAGCCATCCTTTCAAACCAAAACCAACTTTTGAAGATGTTGCCGATCAAGCCAGTTCCACATTTTTCCAGACTGGTTTGCCAATGTAATATTTATTAGCAAACAAAAACAATGTTTAGTTACAGTTAAGGTTGCTGTGGGACACACCCTATTTACCCAAAACCTGACAAGCATGGTGTCACAACCTGGCCCAGGCTACCTTTCTGGATGGACACCAGTCTGTTGTAATGGGTCCCAAATTCTGGGCCCTTATGTTTCTAAGAGCCCTTTATCAGGATAGTGACTGATCACTGTTCTAGCTCTGGGTCTCTCCAGCACACTCCCACATACAGACCCTGTGTCTGACAATACTCCCAAGCTCCCACTTGATTAGATGCTTTCCCCGCAGTCCTTCAGGCTGTGGGAGTTCTGATTTCTGAGTTAGCTCTTCAGGTACAGGAAAGCAAGGAACAAAGGCCTAGCAAAAGAATTTCTTAACCACTTGCTTCTTAATAAAGTACATGCTAGAGAGGTACAGATCTTTGAAAAACAACAAAATCCTGAGCACACTCCCCTAGCCTGACCTTACACCCTCCTATAAGTCTGAGGCTTGGTCTGCATCCTTAGACTTGGCAGCTCTTTCTGCTCTCCTTAGCCCAGTGATCTTGCCTGTCATGGTGGTCTGGCCTCTGGCTTAGAAAAACACCCTTTTAAAACAGCCTGTATCCTCCGTTTACCCATGTGCTTCTTCCTAGGAAAGTTTCAGGCTCCATGTCCCCCATCAGCTTCTGGGCTGAGAGTCATTCAGATTCAAGGGTCCTACCCATAGAAAACCCAGTAGGGAATTGTCATTCAATGTTGTTGGCCCTTGATTGTTCTGTCATAGCTTCTCAGACACAGGTCTCAAGCCCCTGTGTCGCTTGGAGGGCCAGACAGCCTAGCAGGTAGTGCCATTGGCCCTCCAGCCCCTTGCATCTCTGTCAGGATAGTAGAGGTGCCTGGTTCCTGACCCTAAGTTGGACCCTCCTGGTTTCCACCCACATCTGGGCAACAGATCTTAAAGTGGTGGGGTAGGGGGATCCAGACCCAGGCCTTCCCACTCCAGCGGGTCCCAGACCAGGATCCTCCCTGCAGCAAGTCTAAGTCCACTGCCTTGGGCTATTTTCTGCCTATATGTCCCTTCAGTTTGGGGCATGGCCCCTAGAGTCCAAACAGTCAATCAGTTAACAAAAGAGACCAAAGGAGCAGGGCTCCGCAGGACCTCAAAGGGAGTGGTGGTTGGAGAAGGCACTGTCTATGAGCCTTACCCAATCTGTGTGCCCTCTCAGGCAGTCTTTTGTCTAGCTTCCCAGAGGAGTCATCTCTCCTGCAGCTCATCCCATCACCATTTGCGTGGGCTTCTCAGATCCTTTCAACCCACTTCTCCAGTAGGAGCATGCTCAGCAGGCCTGGAGGAGCAAGTCTATTGGACCCAGTATTGCCGTTTAACCCCTTCAGGCCCATTGTGGGGTCTGTAAACCCCATTACATCTAGCTACAAAATGGATACACAAAGGAGGTTATGGTACAAAGTAGAGCCTCTGAAGCAAAATGAGATTCACAAAACAAAATGAAGTTTACAAGTTGACAGATATATCCACAATCTGTCACACATGGAAATAAGAAAGGGATAGACTGGTACATTCCTTTCTACCTTATTGCCTACACACTGTCAATAATACACTCCAATGTTCCGTAGGCTTTCATTTCTAACTGCAACGGATACACATACACAATACCCAGCTTAATCAAACTTGCCCTATAGTGCAAAACCTTAATAGTGACTTCATATGTTTTTATAACAATTATATCAACAGATCAGCACATCTGACTTTCCCATAATCCATGCATTTGGGAAATTATTTTGCCTTAATGTCGCTCCAGTCACTGTTATGGTTCTTAATTACAACACCTGTTTGAAAGTGGCCTTTTTACTGTGTGAATCACATGCAACCATACCATCCTGCCACATAGATCAGCAGTAGGGTTTGAACTCCTTGACCTGCACATCCTTATCTTAGGCTCTTACTGTTTGAGCTATACAGGTAATTGCTAGACCCTTTCTAGACCTAACATGGGAGGGGGACTTGACACACACTTTTACAGTGAGTTACATAACTATTTACTAGTCAACAGAAGAATATTGGTGATCAGGAATTCTGGAGTCTATGCCTGGCTCTGGAATAGAGAATATGATTTATAATGTTTAGTGAAAGAATAACTAGAACTGGTTTAGTCCCTCTAAAAGTCAGTGTAGTGTAGTGGATAAGATTGGTTACTGTCATTTTAAGAGACCTGGATTTTCTGCCTGCAGTGCTCTTGCATGTCTTTGCTAATTTATTTTTGAAAAAGGGTGTGGTAGGGAGATCAGCATCTCTTCCCTAACTGTCTTCTAGAATGGGGTTTATGGCTGTAGTCAGTAATAAGGGTAGTGAATTGCATGAGAAAATAAAATAGCATTTAGAAGAAGTGAGATTTGAACTCCTGGTCTCCTCTTTTGTAGCTCAGGAAACTTTTTTTTAGGTTACAGGGATATTTGGTGAAGGGGTGTGAGGGTGTGTCACTCAGTGAGTGACAGTATTCATGCTACAGCAAATTTGTCATCAAATTAAAATTTGGTAGATTCACCTTGGCTCACATATTTTCTGTGATAGGTAAGAATGTATAAATGATATTTTTGGAATCAGCACATGAGGCGCAATATAGTGGCCAAAGGATGGGTCCCGGTGTGTGTTGTTTCTTGTAAACCAGTGAAAAAATTGCCCAAAAGGGTGATTTTTGAACTCTTATTCTTTCTATATCAATTCATTTTTCATGAAACCATCATAAAAAATTAAAATAGTGCTCAAAGTTTATATCCTGTTATGGTTTTTGCCATTTCACTGCAATTTTTATGAAATAAAGATTGAAAATTCCTATTAAATCTGAACTCTGTAGCACATCTTTAACTATAGTGTAGCTACTGTTTTACCAAAATTACATTTTAAAAACTACATTGAAAGAATATTAAGGTTGCTAGGTCAAGCTCTTGCAACTTTAATTTTCTCCCCTTGTGTATATGCATTATGATCGTCTTTAATTACATGATCGCATACTGTTTTTCCATTTGTTTTTCTTAAACGATTAACGTCTGTGCCTCTGCCAGGCCTGTGTCCTGCCCCTTGCTCCTCATTCCAGTTTTCACCTCTTGTACCCAGCCACTCCCATTCAGTCTCATCCAATCCCCCCAGTTCTGCATCTGATTTCAGTCTCCTTCCTCCCCCTGCCCATAACTCCCAGTTCCCTGCTGACTCCAAGTCCCAGTTTCCTTGTCTAGCCAGTCCCAGTCTCCCTATTCCCCCCCCCCCCCCATTCCTTCTCCAGGTACCTCATCCCAATCTACTCCCTCTGCCACCAGCCTATTGCTCCCAGGTAGGGTTGCCAACCCTCCAGGATTAATTAAAGATTATATCATGTGATGAAACCTCCAGGAATACATCCAACCAAATTGCCAACCTTACTCCCAGGCCTGGCTTTTGTCCCCTCTGCATTCATGATAGGCTGCATCATCCTCCATGCTGCTTGGTCACCATCAGGGGAAGCATTGAGAGACTGAGAGCACAGAAGAAACAGTCTCTCTGCTCTCATTCTCTGTGCTTGCCACGACGCAGCCCTACAGCAGCCAGAAAGAGCAATTGCAAGCAAAGAACTACTCAGCTCCTGCAGCCCTGTCCAAGAGCATGGCCAGCGCAAGCAGAATCTTCAGATATTTTAGCTACCAAACTCTTAACAAAGTTTCTAGTGAACATGTTTGAAGTGAGGTTTTTAAAAAGTGTATAGCTTGGCCAAATTTGGATTTTTTTTTAACATGGGAATAGCAAATGACACTTCCGTGACGCCCCTCCCACCCAATTTGAAGCTCTAGGTTCAAAGCATAGAAGTGCTAGAAATTCTCAAAGAAATGGATTTATTGTTTTAACATGGGCTAAATTTTAACATGGGCTAAACAGTGTATTTTTCACTACTCTCATGCTCAGAAACTGCTGAACCTTTTTTGCTGAAAGTTTCCAAAAGAAATAATCAACCTGAAGCCGACACCTGGCATGGAAAATATCAGCCTGAACAATTTAAGTTTGGCAATGGTGTAATCAACTAAAAAAAGGTCATGTAATGGGAAGTGTTGGGCGTTAAGTATAGACAGTTCTATCAGCTCCCCTGATAATGATCTGTGCTAAACAAATAAAGGTCTCTGCCCTGAAGCTCAAACTTACAAAAGCACAGTGGATACAAAAACAGTACAATCCAATGGAGTTAATAACATTTAAAGGAACACCATCAACTTGAAAAATCTCCTTTCTGTCTGAAATGTTTGTACCTACTATAGTTACAGATAACTTCTAACATCAATATACATGAAAAAAGTTAAATGCGGGGGAAGGGGCAATATTTTTTCTGGTTTTTTTTCCAGTTAATTTATTTTGTATTTGACTTTGTGTACAATCATATTCACTATCTTTCCTGCATACTCAGTCATTTAGTCAGGTTCTCTTTTGCAAACAGTCACCGGAGAGTTGAAAAACCCTTGAATTATCTTTAAAGTAATTTTAAAAAAACAGTGGGATTTTTCAAAAGTACCTAGCTGACTTAGAAGCAGAAATGACTTCCATTGAAATGTGTGTGCCTAAGTAACTTAGCTACTCCTGGAAATCCCACTTTGAGGGCTTAGATCTTAAGCTTAAAATACACAAGACTAAACATGCCCAGTTTCTTAACTTTTCCTCATAGGTCAGGTTTTCTAAATGTTTATTATC